AACCTGGCGCTCGTGCAGGAGCAGAGCCGCGCAGGCCTTCCGTACGAAAGACCCTGGATAAGGAAGCTGCCCTGCCGCTATCTCAAACCGATGTTGTCATCCACCATGAACGTTATCGCAAATGGCGTATTTACTTGGGGAAAGGAGGATGCTCTACTCCTTCGACATTTGATCGGGCGTGAAGCTTGCGACATTCGCTCATTCCTGTCACCAGCAGAAATTGCGCAAATAGAATCCACCCGGACAGAACCGTGCACGTTGCACCTTCGAATTGGATATTCCCAGAACGAATGTTCTCTGCGTCCGGCGAGGGTCATTCAGGAAGTGTTACGCATTGCGCCCAACCTTCTCTCGAGAATCGAATCACAGGAAATGGATTGGGAGACGAGTTTCAGCAAGATGAATGATGTTGACCAGGTGGCAATGTTGGAACAACAGTGGAGCACGTTTATCTCGTCGATGTCGGACGTGGTCCAGGACGTGCCCGCTGCCTTGCAGACCTGAATCCTGTCTTTGCATATCTTTACAACAATAAATGCATATATATGTGTTGTCCCATGACCCTTGCGTTTCATTTCTCGCTATGAGAGACATGGATCTACAAAGTACAGAGACGTATCTCTACCTTCTATCCGAGCGAGACAATCCCGGAGAACTAAAGTGCAAGCTCTCTCCTCCGATTGTCCTTCACGCGTCTCTGCCTTCAGAGAACGGAATTACGGAAGTCGAAATTGATTGACGTAGAATTCGTCTTATGTGTTTCGTGTACCGTTCTGAGAGGTGACAATACCAAGACGAACCCGATCGGATCTGAAGATAACGTGGGAATATATTACACCGCTCAGAATGCTCTCCAGTCTGTTTTCCAGCGTTGAACTTTTCTGGAATGTGTTGTAAATGAGAAAACGGAAACTTATCCTATCAGCTCCCTCCTTCACCGCCTCGTGAAGATGAATCAGATAGAAAAAATGACATGGGCCAGGGCCAGTGGGTGGTACGATTTTGAATTGAAAGAAACGATGTTAACGATGCGAAGCTGCTCGACGACTGGCAACGGGAACGGTGGTTCGGTTGTTCCACTGTGGAATTAATGTCAAAACTCGACTTGGACTTGTCAACGTGCCCGTTTGCCATCTTGCCCAAAAGCGAACTTCGCTTACGTTTGACGAGAAGTTCCAATACGTTTTTCATTATATGTCCCGATGGTGGGCTTAAGGATTCGAACTTAAAACTGGTTTTGCAAAGTGCAGAGCTCTATGTGAAAAAGTTGACACCAGTTCCCTCGGCGAATCTGTCATTGGAGGTAGCACTGAGTGGATCCGTATTGCATTATCCCGTGGAGAGAAGAGTTTTAAAGACACAAGCACTCCTTAAGGGAATTAAAAGTTACCATTGCGAGAATGTATTCGGTTCTTACATTCCAAAGAGAATGGTTCTTGCTTTGTTTAGCGAAACTGCACTGATGGAGGACTATGGTCTTGATCCGCTCAAGACAGCGCATGCTTTCTGCAACAATGTGTCGGTAACGATCGATGGAATAAGGATGCATAGCGTGAACCTCGATCCCGAAACGAATGCCTTCACACAACCCTACCTTGTGACACTGGATGCCGTTGGAAATGCCAATATGGAATTAGATTTCAAGTCCTATGGAACTCGTCGTTTCATAATTTGTTTCGACTTGAGTTCAAACCACGATGGCGATCTGGCACAATCAGAGAAGCCTCTTTTTAGAACCGGCTACCTAAAGTTGGGCATGTCCTTTGCGAAAGTTTTAGAGAATAACCTGGTTCTAACACTCATGGGTTACTTTGATACACATATCGAAGTCACAAGTATTTACGAGATTTCCTCTTTGAACAACTGCTGGGAGTATAAATGGTGAAATCTCGCAGTGAAGTCGAGCAAAATGGATTCGCGCACGATCGATGCGGTTTTGAGACACCATCCTGCTTGTTTGGGGAAATATCGCGGGACCAACGCATCAGATCAATTGGAGAAACTATCGTTCCCAAACTTCCCAGCATGTATCGTTTTCAACTGTTGCAGTCGAGAGAAACGTGGACGACATTTCGTTGCAATGTTCCTCGAGAAAAAGGGTCAAGTGGAGTTTTTTTTATAGCCTCGGTCGGTTTCCGGGTTTTTATGGGCATGCCTTTGAAAGATTTGTGAGCAAGCACGGGGGAAAATCAACTTTCTACAGCGACGTTCAAGTTCAGAGCTCAAGCGCAAAAACATGTGGGGCCCACGTCATCTTCTACCTCATTCATCGATGTCGAGACAACAACATGAAATATATTTGTGAACCGACACAATTGTGAACCGTTTTTTGCTGACACTCACCTCAGAATGAATAAATAAATAAATAAATTGCACATCTGCAGTTTCCATTTGCAAATTCTCCACATAAACATGCCTCTGAGTACAATTATCTTTCTCTCGTTTGCACGAATCCCGCAATGGACAGGGTTAACACATTGTCTGGTTCGCACATCATTAGACTGATGGAAATGGTCATGGAGTAAATGTTTTCCTTCCATTTCCCCGTTCCTGACAACAGAAGCTGATTTTGAAAAAGCAAAAGCCACCATCACCTCATAGCGTCTTTCATTCTGCCAGTTCTTCGTTTCTTCGTTCAGAGTGAGCTTGACTTGTCCCACCCTCTGTGAACTCCTGCCTCCCGTAAGTTCACAAAGATTCGAATACTTTCCATTTATTACTGAGAGGTTTCTAATCTCAACTTTCACATATCCCTTTCCATAGATAATGCTCTTCATCAATTTCATTCTCGTTTTCAACATCAGCGAGTGCAAGGCATTCGCTGATTGGGTGAGAGATTGCGTTGGGGGAGCGGTGATGGTGGAGGAAACATCTCAGAGAAAAGAGGTTTTAATATTAAGACCATCGATTTACACAGTGGCTTTGAATCAAGCTGTCATTAAATCTTGGTTGGCGGGGACCCAATGTGAGATTACGTTTGGGTCGGGACAGACGCCACCATAGATCAAATTCTGACATCAGTGAAGAAGTTCGACTAAATAGGAACTAATTAGGTAAGCTCACATCGAATCTCTTCCCCCTTTCAATTTTACGCTTAAAAGAATTAATATACCTTTCATTTACAGTTATGGTGAAGATTGGGATGCGACAGAAGAGGAGGGAGAAGGAGGAGGAAAAAGGAAAAAGAAAACCTTCATATAATCATTCAACTTGTCATTAAAACTGAGTAATCTAGCAATGACCATGATTTTTAAAGTATACAAAGTCGCTAGAAATGTAACCAGAGATGTGTTTAACACATCTCGTCTTTCAAGAAGAGACACTCATGGCCAGTGGCATTCAAGCTCTCCCTTCTGGTGACTTTTTTCAGATCAAGGATGAATGAACCATTTATTTCGAAATTATTCTCTTTAGGATCATGTACGTCATCAGGGTGCATTCTGCGGAGGAGAGGGACGATGAGATGGTGCTGTTATCAGTATTAGCGCATGTGAAATTGGAGACGACTTCTCCACATACTATCGTTCTAAGACTCGAAGGAGATAATCGACTCCGGAAAAAGACCATCGAAGAGAAACTCGGGAGCCTACGTTCGTCCGTGAGATGGCATGCAGACGACACGGACGTCGAAAAATGTCTCAAGCCGGAGGAAGTCCGAGCAAAATATAATGTTCTGTGGTAATACCATTCCACACCTTGTACAATTTATTTTTTAAATCCCTGCTTGCATTTTCATCGGAGGCACATGCGTTCTCTCCATCCATAAAGTTAACTATTTCACTGAAATAATATTTTGATATGTTCCTTGCTGCACAATCTTCTCAACACGTGCTCTCTCTCTCTCCCCCTCTTCACAGAAGAGACTGAACGAGAACCATTTTCCCTGACCCCTACTCCTGTTCCGACTACATGTCTTCATATGGCGTTAGAAGTTTTTCCTCTCTCATCAACTCACGTTTGGATTGCTTCCCTTCACATCGCAATCATCATCATCCTCTTTCAGTACTTTCCCTTGTTCTTCGTATATCGCTTCCATTGAGGTAGAGATTGGCGATGTGTGAAATGTAATAAAGTATCCTTTTTTCCCACCAACGCATATTTTCTAGTCTTATTTGGCTGATTCCCCTCCTCCACACGTCCGGGACCGTTCGTGAAAGGCGACCCTGTCAGTGGGTCTTGTACATTCTCTCTTTCTTCCACAACAGCCACGCCGCAAGACTCAGGGTTAATGACAATCAGGGGCCGTGGATGTAAACGGTGTATTGTGTGGGAAAAGGGAAGACAAGAGCAAAGAACTATAAATATTAATACATCATGGGGAAACCCTCCTCTACTCTGACTCCCCTCCCCAACACGTCCTTGACCGTCAGGGGACTGAGGGCTGTAAAATTAGCGCGACGGAAAAAACGGGAGATAACGTGTCCAAACATGTTGGCATAATGGAATCTTCCATCCGACCCTATTGATTATTTTGATGTAAAACGGTAATGACGGGAGTCAATTAAACTGGGATTTTATGACGCGCGATTCATGACATAATATTTGCCAAATCGAAAAATCTCTTCATAAAGGTATATGGTTAATGAAAATCATCGTGCAGCCGATAATTCAACGTTAATTCACTGAGAACTCATGTAAATCAATGATATGCTGAGATTAATTCATATGAAATTAAGGTTATATAATAAATAAGATATTGAAGCTCCACTGCTCCACCATTGCTCCACCCACCGATCGTACCTTTCTTATACTACTGTGCGTCACTGCGACACACCCTTCCAGCGAGACGAGTCCATTCGTGTCTCATTGAAGAACAGTTGGAAAAAGCGTTGGATCTCCATGCAAAAACCGTTCGATTGGGTCATTCCACGACTATCAACTCCTTTTATTTTCGTTTCGCGAGTTAACGGTTGAAAAAAGGGGGGGGGGGGGGAGAGAAGATAAGGAGAAAGAGATCACAGATTGGAGTGATTTGAACGGGACTGGAACGACTGGATTCCTCAAGCCTCGGCTGCCAGCTCTTCCTGTCCGGATGGAAATTCCAAAGAAACTCTGAACGCACGAAGGGACGAGAGAGCGAAGAGAAGAGAGAGAAGCCTGGGGACTCGCCTGCACCACTTCCGGGTCCAGGTTTTCGAAGTCCAATTCCACCTGCATCTTGGTGGAGTTGGGAACTTCCGCTGCATCGTCCGCTTCTGTCTCTCTGGCCTTGAACAAGGAACTGCTCCGGTCGGCCGTCGACAAGATGCTGCGCTTCTTCTCCGACTGGGGAAACAGGAAGGCATCCTTGCGTGTAGGGAGGGATCTTCCGTTTCCTTTATACGGTCTGGCGGCTTCCGTGCGATTTACCTTTTCGTCGGCGTAGTAGTTACGGTCGTATGGCAAAGGGAACAGCCAGGGAATGGCGGGTTCTTCGAGATTCGTCTCTGTTTCCTCTTCCTCGGCCTGGGCTTCGTTTATCGGCTGCATCGAAGACCGCCTACGCGTTCGAGAGAGAAATCTTAGCTTTCGCTTCACGCTTCATCCTTCATCACTCCACGGGAAGGACCGATTACCTGCTAAAGTGGGAAACGATGGAATGCTTCCTGGTAGGCGACGTCGAACTCGGAGTGGCAGCCGTGTTATAATTGCCCTTTTTGAAGGATTGCCCTTGTGGCACCCCGACGTAGTATCCTCCATCGGTCAACTGATCTCGTCTCACGAGTGGGGAACCAGACAACATGTACAGCCTGACACGAAATAGTATTAAATTTAAAGACCGGCCCGGGGTAGGGGGATGGGGGGGGGGGGGGGTAGGGGGGCAGAGAATTAGGTCTGAATGCACTCAATAAAACGAGTGTTTCCCCAGCTTGCCTCTTGATTTTTCCCGTGCCGAGGTCTATCCGAGTGGGAAGATCCTTGAGAATGGCCCGCCGATCGCTGAAATCCCCCGTCTGGAAGCGAAAGATCTTCGCAGGCGTTTCCTCTTCTCCATTCCGAAATACGTGGATCGTCAGGTTTCGTCCTTTTCCGCTGATCGCCCTAGCCGAGGTGAGGGAATTTTTCCGACTTCGGAGGAAGGAGATCCGGGATTTCCTCCTCCACGCCGACTTTGCCTTTACCTACGGAGATTCCCACGATGCGGAGCTGCAGGTGACCATAGATCCGATTTGGGTCGTGAAAACGCAGCACTTACATCTTCGAGTTTGTCCCGATATCCGGAGTAGCGTGGAGCCGCATTTCTATCGCTCCCATACCTACAGATATCAAGTAAGGAGGGGGAAAAAATAATGCCATCGACAAGAAGCGAAAAGTACCTCTACAACCACAATAATACTGCAGTACGACAAGAGTACCACAATTTGATCCCCTTTTCCATTCAACGAACCGATTACGCTGCTGCGCGCTAGTAGAGAACAAAAAGGGACAAGGTCCCTTGCATTCAAAGCAGAGTAAAATTAGCGTGAAAACGAAGTCTGGGATTGGACTTAAGAAAGGGGAAACTGTCCTTGCTAAAGAACAGTCTATTTGAAAGCCTTGCATTTCACGCTCCTCAGGTGCAAAAAGCTCCAACTGGTCTTTAAAAGGTTTTTTTTTTTCTTTTAGTGTTCATGCTATCTCGTCTTTGTAAGACCGTTTGGCACAGGCTATTATTATCGCGACTTGGCATATCAAGGGCACTTTTAACAGGCAGATTTTTTTTGTTGAAGATTCATATAGTAATGGTATTTTTTTCGGGAAGTATCTATTGAGGCTGGAATCGCCACTCAGACGCATTTCAGAAGTGATCGTCATCCCGGAGTGGAAGTTTCAATGACTAGAGCAGCTTTTTAGTCACCACTGGTCATCGCCATCCCATACCAATGTTTCGTTTTCATTTTTGAAATGCCAACTGAGTCACGAATGGACTCATAAGCGAGAAAACCTGGAAGGGGGTTAATCAATATGCTTCTCGATGCTCACGAGGATGTGTCCGGTGGAAGGGAATGGGGGCGTTTTCCCATCGATCTAACTTCCCAGTAAAAAATACCCTTCTATAGAATCGCCACGGAGTCCCAATACGTCGGCACTATAAGCTCTTTTATGATATTCAGGCACAGCTGTAGACGATCGCGAGCGACATCAGTTTTCATGAGATTGAAGAACGTCTGCTGACAGTGGCACGGATCCACGAGAAAGGTCGTACCAAGACCATGGATAGTATTCCAAATGATTTCGGAGAAAGGCTGCAGAAACCTGTAAAGGCGACGCAGCTCATCATCTTGGCGAACCGATTTCGAACACTCGCGTCCGAGTCCGCGTTTTGGGCGATGAAAACACTGTTAACAGCCTCGATGTGTTTTGATCTCGTCTTGGATATCCCTCAACGTTTCCTGTTCATGGCAGATCCTGCTTTAAAGGCCTGTTCCTCCCAAACGATGGGATTCGCCTTCGTCAGGGCAAGTTTCTCGAATCTATTCACAGTCGTAGCTATAAATACGAAACAGTATACTGTGTAAGTGCATCGGGACTTTGTGGCCATCCTGTATTTTTATGCAAACGTCTTCAAGAGGTGTAGAATGTTTTGGGGGAACCAAGGTGCTTCCACCAACTTTCGCCTTCATCATGACATGAGATAGTCAGACAAGACTATCCCCAAGTCGTAATTCCCCAAGTCATAATTTCCACAAAATTTTATGGGCCATTTCCCCGACTTTTTCAAGTTTTCTATTTAAGATTACTTGATGAGGGAAATGTTAGCTTTCTTCGAAGAGCCCAGCCTTGCCAGTCACGATCTCACCTTCCAGCATCCTTCTCGTTCATGCTCTTTTTCTCCCGACCTCAAAGAAGAGGCAGCATGTCCAAAGAAACGTCGAAACTCGCACCGTTAGGTGTTGAAGTGAACTTTGCACGGGAACACTGGTTCAGGAGCTCTAGTTCAAGAAGAGAGGCATTGCTATTGCCTTTTCTGCCGTCCAGGCCTATATTCAATGGACAAGCCTTCTCTTACTTTTTCATTCCGCGAATTCTGTGAGGGCGTGGCATCGAGACACATTTAATCGGAAGGTCTTCATGTCCCTTTCGGTTAGAACGCAGCATTCGAGTGAATGCTCGAGTCTTCCCAGGCCCATGGAGAAAGTGCGGATAGGTAAAAATTGCCCCACTGCAAAATACTGAGTCCCCCCCCCCGTCCCCAACCGCGCCTACAACAGTGCTTCCATCCAGTTTTCGCTTCAAACTCTTACTCTACGTGCTTTTTACTTTTATTGGGACATACAGTTCATTCTGGGTGCCTCTTCTTGTAGGAAATTGGACGATTTCCCGGACTTTTCCAGGTTCGTGGGCACGGTGGCGAAAGGTGGAAGAGGAGAGAGAAAAGGAGTAGTACGAGAAAGGAGACGAACCCTCCTGGGATCCTCTTGAAGGGCGCCGATCCAGCAGCGACGTACGAAGCTCCATTTTCCACAGCTTCAATCGAAGAGACAAGAGATCCTCCTTCCGGGGTGTGAAGGCGATGAACGGCGCCGAAGGTCGGCTCCAACTTCTCTGTCAACTCCCTACATAGGGAGTCGATGGTCGGGAATTGCCTCCCACTTACCACGAGCCTCCTACCGTCGAAATATTCATCCCCGTTACGGTACACGAGAATCCGCTTGCCCTGGAACTTGGCAGGTATCTCCGACTGCATGCGTTTGGGACCTGCCATTCTAACATCTTCCTCATATCACTGTCACTTTCGGAAAAGACGATAGGTGTACTCGTTGCTAAGCAGGCGTTCATAAGGAACCGGCACGATAGGATCGATGAATAAATGGCACCGCCCACCTGGGAAATGTCCTCACCTGGCCTTGAGTCTCTATCATCGAGCATCGAGTCTCTATCATCGAGCATCGAGTCTCTATTCCATTCAGTTTCCAGGCCCTCAGCGATCGAGCGAACCAGGGAACTTGAAATGTAATTAACGAAAACCATCAAGTATAAGGTCAAGGCTTTATTCAATGATAAAAGAATACTGTTTCCATGTAAACAGCTGAATAGTTCTCAGCTGGAGCGAAGAAGTGAAAAGACCCCTGTTTCCGTTAATAAATGCATAAGTAGAATGGTGAAGAACGGAAGGTTATAACCCCTTCAAATGTGTGAGGCAGCAGATGAACGCATCGAAGGGGATGTATTATGCATAGGGTATATTGCTTGCAGGGTCTTCTCAGTTCTAGTCCCCCTAGAGCAGAGGGTCCTCCTGACTAGGCATTACAATACTTACATCATGACATCCATAAATAGGAAATACAAGTTGAGTATATTACAAACAGTTCCATCAAATAGAAATTTGGAACACAGATTCCTCTAGGGGATTCAAGGACAACATAAATAATTATAATTATCATCCCCATTATGATCAACCTACCATGTCAACAAAATATTACCAGGGTAAATCATAGGTCTATATATACAATCAACCATCTTTGGCAGGTGCATGAAAAAGAGGGGGTTCCAGATAGATGGAATTCACTGGAACATGGAGAAATCAGCAGGATTTTCCTTCTTCCACTTTGGGAAATCCCAAAGTCTTCAGAGGATGTGGCAGCTTGATGATCCTAGAAACTGAACTGAACAGCAGAAAGTTCCAGTTGAAATGGATAAAAACCAAATACTAAGCCACATGGAATTTGCCATCTGAAGCAGAAAGGACACAAGCTCTGCTGGTGTATCCAGAACCTGATATAAGCGTATAACCAAGACTAAAGGGATGACAAAGGTGACTTAGTCACACAATTCACAGAAGTGAAGAGGACAAACACTTGTAGACTCATGTTAATACAATACTTTTCTCAAATTTACATAATAAAGAAAAAATCCAAGTAACATTTGCACATAATGCTCACACAGGAGCAATGACTTGTGTTCATATATGAATCCATGATATGTGGACCCTTACAAACCAGAAAGGAGGGTCTAACATCACAGGGAAGAGAGACAAGGAGATGAAGAATCACCATAAAGAACACTCTAGACTAGGCAGAGTCAAGGTTGTTTTTGTTCAGTGGAATCTCACCCATACATGAGACAGTTTCAAAATCATCAAGGTAGGCGGAGGGAAGACAAGAAAAGGCTTGTGTTTGTGTGACCCTGGATTAATTCCACTTGAGAGCAGCTTTTCACACATTCCCTCCTGAAAACTTAATGGACCAGAGACAGTATGTAACTCAGCAAAAGTATTGCTTCTTTCTAGGCCTTTTTTTTGGACATTGTAAAGAACCAGAGAAAGCGACAAGACTTTCACACAGAAGTTTACATCACCAACAAATTCAAAATAGGGGTCAGATGTACTGTCTCAGGTTTGGTTTCTACAATAATGAGATCAACAGGGTAAAAATTTCTCCTAACAGGAGACAATAGGACAAACAGCTAAGACATGAAAAAGCTGCCAGATCGGTGTTCACATGTGCATTTGCCCATGAGAACAGACAGGCCACCAGTTAATGATGAAATGCAGTACCATCATAAGAGACTGTAACTAAAACAATCCCTGGATATGGCATGTCTCCATCATAGTCTTTCATCAAATAAATTCACTTGCATGGACCGACACCTCAATGCTATTTGGTGCCAGTCACCTTACCATCAACTAGAATGCCTGTCTGCTTGATGGAACCTTCTGCAAGAATTGTAGGAATGAGGCAACATAAAGGGAGGGGTCCCTTTGAAGTTTTCAATAACCACGGATAGGTCTCAATTTTCTGCCTCTATAATGGAGGAGATTTCTATGAAAATTGGCTAGCAGAGTAGGTGCCTTCCTCATACGATCCTTCAAGATGACACAATTTTGATGGTGAAATAGGGCAAATACTCCTGGATTTTGATCTGCTCAGCCTGAATACTGGAGACACCAAGTGCAACATCAATGAATCTACAACTGTTTCACTGGAAATATGGAGGATTGATAGAACACAGTGTTCTACAAACCTGACAAATCGACATAGCACTGACAGAAAAGTCAGGAAAAGGACAAGTATGTCATTCCTCACATTAGTCACTGAGAGTCATTTACTGGACTGGCATTTCTTGGAAAGGCACAGCTCAAGTGCCCAATCCCAGCTGGTGACTGCCAATAAATGCTGATAAAAGCTCAACCAGAAGCACAGACAGCTAACACAACTTCATAAGCTCAAGTTAAGCAAGTTGATATGAATACATGAACCTTCAAGTATAATCTCTGAATCTCAAACATGTTAATGCCTGGCTAGTGGTCTTGGCCTTCCATGGTAGTGATTGAAGCAAAGGTAGGGGTTTCATCGAGTGTTGTAATTGGGATGGGAGGAGTGTCAGAGATGATGTCTGCACTGTCCTCACTCTCTTGAATGGTCATGGTTCCACTTCCATGCTCTGTCTTCATTTTCACCACCAGATCCCCTTCCCCAAGACTTTGCTCTGAGTTTTCTTCCTGATTCATCTCAGGTGGGCTGTTGCAGTAAGGTGATGCCACGGGAGACATGCTCACTCGACCCTAATGAAAGAAAAGGAAAGAAGAATTTGAAAAATATCAACTGAATGCCTAAGATATGATTCAGCAAAAAATGCTGCATAGTGCATGATGAGAACCACTCCCCAGGGATTTGGGAAGGGAGCATCATCTGTTCCAAAACACATACTGACTAAGTTTATTATTATTATTATTTACCTCCATTCAAGGGACCCTTCATTGGTAGCACATGAATGAAAATGCTGAAGAGTATTGGAACATGTATTGTTAGACTGGAGAGTAATTCTCATACATGCCAGAAAGTTTATTCTCTTGATTAAGTTAAGTTGATGTCATATCAAAGGGACAGCCCATGCCTACAATAAAAGGCATTTCCTTGTCTTTAGTTCTATGTTGAGAATCTACACTAACAGTCAATTGGATTCTGTGCTTGCATCTTGTTAGAAACGAGTTCATCAGAAAGGCATAACATTCAGGCACAGCACAATTGATGAAAACAAGACCACCACTGAAATGATTGACAGAGCAATATGTTTACAAATCTGATGTACAGACTTTCAGGACAAGGGCAGGGAGGGAGATGTAAAGAGCTGACACCTGCATCCATTTAAGGAAATTGTGTTCTTGCAATTAGTCATGCAAGCAAAGGAACAGTTCTGAGAGATAACCCTTCTCACTCATTCTATAAAGGAGTGACATCCTTGAATGACATTCTGATTCACTTGATTGGAAGCAGCTATAAATTAGTTTTTGACAGGACTGTACAATGTAATGATATTATTTCTACATCAGACAGTTTTCTATATCTATGAAAGTATAAAAATAAAAAATTAAAAGCTCCTGGCAGCATTTATTCAATGATACCATGATGTTTTAGAGCCTCTGTGCTCATTTGTAATGTTTCTAAAATGATATTGAGTCATTACAAAGTAAACAATCTTAGGGAAAATGGGGTCACTGACATTCCTCATAGCCAGTGCTAAAAATGGAACCAGAATGGTATCCTGTCATGACTAATGTTTTTACATAAGCCAGGAGCCATATCAGGCTTCTCCATGAATTTCAAAACAGTAGGTAGTTTCATGGTTGCATCAGTCAAGGAAAGGCACCCAAGGCACAAAGTAGCACTGGTCAAAGCAGCAATTCCAAAATAAATAAACTAGGATGCACCAGTCCAAGAAACCAATAGTCATCAGCCTCTGAGGTTGAACCATGATTAGGTTCAATTTTTATTTGCTATCTGTTAAGTTTGGCTATGCACAGGGTGGCTGAAAAGTAATTAATATTTTCCATATAAACAATCTTTAATTCTCATAATTGCTGAAATATTCAGTCAATACACAAGGGACAGGATCATGAACAGTTCTGTGCTTTAATAATGAAAAATCATACTTTAATGTATACAATAGCATGATCAGTACTGTTTTTGTAGCACTAGAAAAACTTCTCAATTACACCCAATTTTGCCATTGAAATCTACACCTGAGAAGTTTTTGAAAATGTTCCTCTTCAATTTTGAACAATACAATTGAGAACATCAGCAAGTGCTGCAAATATGTGTATTGAGGTCAGTTTTGTAAAGTGGCTCCTACAACTATTAGATTCTTTTGCTTAGCCTGCATCTCATTCGCTCAAATTTCTTCATCCATTTTTTGTGCACATCAAATTCATTTATGCTCCTGTCTGGGTTGTGAGGCATGTGAAACACTTGAGACTATCTTCACCCTGCACGATAACCTTTGTTTGGTAATGCCTCTCTCACCTGAGGTGATCCAGAATATGGGATGGAGTTAGCAGTCTCCCTGAAGACCACTGCACGGATCACAGACTCCACTTGGTCCTCAGGCCAGCTCCCAAGGAGTATTCTTTGTGGCCGACCTCGTCCCTTTGGCCTCAGCTCTGCTTTTGAGGATAAAACAATGCATTCCAGTTACTTTAGCTTCATGATAAAGTGTTACAAACCTCTTGAGTGCTGGAACACACATAGGTCTTCCAGACAGCAGCATTACATCAGAGATGAATGAATCATAGCTCCAAATAATAGTATTTCTGAAGGATCTCTATTAAAAAAAACATGAATGTCAACAGAAGAGAAATTCCCACCTGAGCCTCCTGGAGAGGGACCAAGCATATTGTGGACTTTGTTGGCATAGAGGACAAATGTTGGGTAAGGGATGTCATGTTTTCTGGCTGCTTCTGAAAGTGACAAGCCTTCATTGAGAACTCCTCTGATTGCAGAAGCCATGGTTTCTGGTTTCCATGACTTGAAAGGGCCTCTTTCTCGAAAGCGCAAGTTTTGGATCAAAGACTGGTTTTGGGCCCAAGCTTTCTGCCACAGATTTTGCATCTGGTATTGCACAGAATCTGTAAGAGAAAGAATAGTCAATTCATGAACAACATCAGAAACAAGGTATGGTAACTTTTAAGGAGACTATCAACACTGCTGCAAGAGGGGACATGACAGGAAGGATAAGAGCATAAAAAGCACTGGTTAGTATTTGGTCAACTTGAATTCCAAGCATATAGGCACAAAGAAATCATTCCTAAGGTACAACTTTCTTAAGGAGACAACATGACAGGTTCTAGGCCAGCAGGGATGGGACTAAATAGGAAAGGAGGGAAGAGTGAATATAAAATAAAAAGAGGAGCATTCAGATGCCGCAATACCCACGATGTCTTTTGTTAGTGAGAAGTCCGCCTTGCTTAGCTCTCCGCCACAGAGTCATGACGGGGATGTTGCATTCCACAGCTGCTCGTTTGATGGAAATGCCTTGCTGCACCAGATCCATGCCTTTCCTGATGGCTGCTTCCCGACTTTCCTTGGTCAGGAAGAAGCCCTTCCCTGTTTCTGGATATGGTGGGCTTATATCTTCTTCCATCCCCACTCCATGTTGAGAGTCACACTTAAAACTTGGATCTGAACACATTTCATCTACTTCATTTGGATGCTCATCACATGCCTCATTTTCCTTGGGCCAGTCTGCAACCAAGAAGTAACACCCACTGTCAACTTCCTTGTAACACTACCTAACTGACATTCCATCCCACACTCCCCTTTCAGATGCAGGCTATGATAAGATCTTCAAAGTTGTAGGTCAAGAAGAAATGAGAGCTACAGAACAGTATTGAAGCATGAAGTGTGCAAGTAGCTTACACAGCATTACATAAAAGGGTACATGCTTTGACAGACAGCCTAGATGATATGGAAAGCAGGGAGTTCAATCTTCTTCAAGCTTTTTGGAAAATGTAGTAAGTTCTACCAATGGATGCTACTTTATGCAAATGAAATAAACCTGATTGCAGCAAACTGAATAAAACTGGAAGCACATCACAAAAGTTCTGTCCATGTTTGCATATGATTTTTTTTGTGCCATTGAATGAATGCACTCACAGTATGATAGCAAATCAATACCATGTATGGTAACAAAAACAAGACTTGTGCACATCGGCCAGGATATTTCATCACATAATGCAAATTGCATGGAATTTCCATGCATAATCAAGCAAGGCTGTTCAGTTTAGGTGTAATGTAAGGCTGTTTCTTGGTAGGAAAATAAGCATTCTTTCCATTCCAATGAGAATGCAATGCTTAAACCCAGCTTGAAAACCATGTTTAGATACAAATAAGATGAATATTCTAATACTGTGAATAATTTCCACTTTTCAGATAAACAACATGCATTGAAAACCTACAAGTGACAATGTAAGTTCGATGTAGGTCATTGGAAAATAAAAATAAGAAATGATGAAAAGGAAGAGGAGCAGGGAAATAGGGCAGGAGGGGTATTATAGGATACAAAGCCTGGCATCTCTCTCAAAGTAAACAGATTCATCACACTTCAATCCTTTTTGCACCATCAGTCACCATTAGTCAGATTCTCATTATGATTGGCATCATAAACCATTTCCCAAACAAACAAACCCAGAAAACACCAGGCTCTTTTGTTTATTTTTTCACATGAAAGAACACTTGCCTGGGGGAAATTCAAGTTCTAGTGCATATGATGTACATTAGCAGATAACTAAATAAAAATAAATTTAAATGGTAACTTTCTCCTTCTGATGACAAAACATATAAAAAGAAAGTTTATATCTTTTCTACAAGCCTTTAAAAGAATGGAATATTTTTGTCACCTGCATATGAATCCACTTTCTCATTATAACTACTCCTGAATTTATTGAGAATTAAAGAGGATAAATTTTTATCCTGATCCAAGATCCTGCCTTATTACAATATTAATATAATAGACAGTTTCTAAAAGCACCTGGCACTCCTTTGGAGAAACAAACACAAAATGTAGATGATATTTGATACAATTGTGCTCAAATTCCAGCAGTTAAATTTAATAGAATATTAATTATAATCTTTAGAAGCATGGACACTGAAGAGCTGTCAACTTTCAGAGTTGCTGCATTGGCTTCATATAGATGGCTTTATAATGAGTCAATGTACAACAATTTCAAATTCATCTTTCACTTTTTGCTTTTTTTTTAACATAAAAAAACATTCTTTAGAAAAAGAAAACTTAACGTAATTCTAAGAACCATAAAGGGATGAGAAAAAACCATAACCACATGGATTTTAGGTCTATTTGCGTTTGTTTCAATTTTTGTGTCAAGTGTCCACCTTGATACATGTTATGGCTCCATTTCCAGTTCAGAATTCCTTCCAGTGTTTGGCTTCATAATGGTTGGAAGACCTGGTTTTCAGTGCTCAGGAATAAGTAGAAAAACGAATGCCATTCTAAAAAAAAATGGAATTATTCAACTAAGCATAAATAAGACACCAATAACAATAAATAACATCAGAGTCTTCCATATTTATAATCTGGAATACTTCAGCATGGAAGGCCTTGAGAAATAGGAAATAGGTCCACTTCATCACAAAATGCAGGTACAATAATACAATGGCTTGTAGCAGTGAGGCATTCTTATCCAGAATAAGAAAATTGTAGAGCCTTTTCCTCTCTCTCTCCCACACCCCNAGAGGGGTTCGTGCCTTTTCCTCTCTCTCCCCCCCCCCCCCCCCCCAGAAGAAAAGGAGAATTGGATGGATTGAGCAAACTAAACACTCAACCTGGGATTAAATTTTGAAGGCCCAAAGTTGATGAGTATGATGGGAAAACCTTGATGAGCCTCATCAATGAGAAACTTTCGATAAGTGTCCCACTTAACTTGGCAATTTATTATGAAAAAGGCATAGGCTTCAACCAGATAATGATAGATCCCTTACTATAAAGAAGTTACAGCCACTTGAACAACTCTTAGTGCCACAAGGTCCTACAGATATTCAAGAGAGAAAATCCTAATTTTCTTACATTATCACCTTGTGAGTTCTTGAAAACTCAGGAAGGAGGGTTCATGGCTTAGTTTAGAATAAGTGAACCTGATGTTGATGTATTTCAATGAGAAATTGCAAAACCTGGCTGTTTTGAGAAACCCAACTCTAGTTTGACTACATGGATATTAGGAGAAAATAATTTTCTCAATTGATGCCCTTTCTGGTTTCTCAATCTTATCCACAACACTACACTATCATTTACTGGATTATACCCATAACTCAAGCATACTAGGTGCTGGCATATCTATAGTCTATATGCCTCAAGGCTTCTGAAATGCAACAATCCTCATAATCATCAGGACTCTGTCCTGCAGAGACATTTGGGTATTGCAGCGATTGGAAAACAATAAACAAAGAGATGATTGTCCATTCAATACCATGTACTGTGTGGAAATGAATTACTTTACAATGGCCATTGACTTATGTTGCTACAAAAATTTTATTTATCTACTGGTACTTCTATGTGATTGACAGAGGGAGAAACCTTGATTCTGCTGTTCTGATGGCCCCAGATGAAACATTCTAATATTAGTCAAAATACCAGTATCGAAGAAGAACCAAATTCTCCAAGCAAATACAAGGAACACCATTAGTCTGTCAGAAATATGCAATTTTCAGACATTACTTAGGGTAGGGAAATGAAATTTTCAGTAATTTCCCAAAAGTGTTAAGTACCTGAACTTAAGTATTAATCGCGAAATGGGGTTACTCAGTTTCAACTGTAAGACAGAAAAAAAAGCAGCGCAAATGGCGGCGTGTGAAAGTGTAAAATCATTTCAGGGAAAATTTCAGAAGCATCCGCTAGAAGAAGCAGCCGCTATCGGACCCGTGTGTATGGCAGATACATGAAAATTTGTTCAAACTAGGTCTGTTCAAGTCCCAGTTTTAACAAATTTCTCATTCTCATACCATACAAACGGGTTCGATGGAGACAGCTTCTTGAAGTGCTTCTGAAATTCCTCCCAAGTAGTTGATGCGCATCTATTTAAATAAATAAAAATGTCCAGTACCAACTGAGTAGCCCCACTTCGCAATCAAGAATTCCGTTCAGAAACTCTTAGGAACATCAACAGCAAATTTAATTTTCAAGTCCAAGCGGGGAAAAACAAAGAAACGAAATCTATAACTTAATTAGAAGCCCAGTTTCTAATTCGGAGTTTCTACTCTTAGTAGCTAGTAGAGATCGCAATAATATTGGAAGTCATGTGTGAAGGAGGAGAAGCGCGTTTTTTTTAAATGGGTATTCACACGACCCTCCTAATGCTGAAGGACGCGTAGACGGAAGCGGTGACGTAGACCGGCGGTTCCCAAATTTAATTTAACTTGGATTGAGCCTTCAAGCGCCCAGTGGGTTGCAACTCCCCGTTTAAGAACTGCTGGCGTAGACAGTGAGACCCTGACGTGAGGAAGAAAACTCATGTCATGGTGTCCAAAGATAAACGACTTTTTCTGGAATATCAATCTAGCCGGTGGACGTGATAATATCGTAAAACTATATCGACGTGATTCCGATCGTCTAAAAACCAGCTGAATTCTGTCAGCAGAACGTACTTTTCATATTAATTCTTCATATGCATGGGAGAATCTGACTGACACAACTCATGCAGTTAGTACGTTAAAAGCCTCCTTTTCGATAGGAAAACGACATTTTCTGGAATCGAGGAATTCTGGAAATTCAAGAGCCTTATATATCAAGGAGGAACAATAATAGATTCGTCACATCGTTGCGATGTGAAGCTGTGCTCCATGCAGGGGCAAGCTCAAGTCTGCCAATGTCGATACCACCAGACCTTCTTTATTCACACAATTTTTTCCCTCAACCTACCTATAATTCCAGGAGCACTCGGCTGGGCGATAGGATTCCAGGGTCCTGCAGGAATACCACAGCTGCTATGGCCATTCTCGCTCACAACAGAGTTGTCCAGCATTTTTGCGTTCTCCATCAGCATTGCCTGCAAAGAAACAAGATGAATGCAAATTTTTTTGCTTTATGTTCCAGCCCTTCTCTCGAGGAGAGCGAGAAGCTTTGCACGAAACCTTAGATATAATACTATTGAGAAAATTCAGCTAGCACGTACAAGCGAAAATATGCATTATCGAAGATACCATTGAAAGCACAACGCAGCCAGTAGCTCAGGTTTGTCTATAATCCTCGAGCATTAGTCATATGATTTTATGCTTGAAGTGCATATTTGATGCCCATCTGACAAGTCCCTGACGAATTGACGAAATTCCAGGATTCGTATATGATGCCTGTGAACTCGAAAACTGAAACAAAGGGGACTGAAAGAATTACATTGGAAGAGCAAAATTGAAGAGGGGGAATATGAAGTAGAAGAAAAATAACATGGATGCGCTTCAGGGCATTTTCATTGCTTCAAGCGAACAACAACCTCGGCATATAAAGAGAAAGAAGGAGATAGAGAGAGAGAGAGAGGGGGGGGGGGGAGAAAAAAAACCGTCTCGCATTCGGTTATTATGATAATGGTGCAATAATGGCGCAGCAACTTCGGCGGAACTACCATTAGTCTGCCGTCACGAAATCGCTAGAAAATTACACATGAATGCAACTGCAGAGTATTTGCGTCTTATCTCAAGCACGAATTATCATGGTCCCTGCAATTCATGTCTAGACTGCGGGCTGAAGTGATCTAGGGCTTTCGCCGAATGGCTGGAACTACAGAAACAGCCCAGTTTACCTTGCTTTCTAGTGGCTCTCATTCGAACGCATTCCATTCCTTCAGCCGCGCATTGAGCAAACATTAGTTTTGCCAGTGTTTGCTTTTTCTGGTCATGACTAAGCGTGTTGTGTCAGAACAATGGCCCCCCTCGCTTCAGAGGAAAGGAATCCACACCAACCTTGCAAACCCATTCCTATATATTCTCTTACTGGCCTTATCGCCTGGGCAATAAGGCCAGTATAAGGCCAGTTGGCTGCAATCAAAGAGAAGAGCTGTGATCGACGGAATTTACATATGCGAGACAGAAGTCGAAACGGAGAGGAGAGAATATATAGCAGAAGCCTCAGCTGGGGTGAGCATTTTAAAAATCGATACATGAAGTGAAGCGGACAGATAGATCGTCATTGTTAGTCGAGAGGGCGCATGCCCTCATCCTCCCTCCTGGATAGAGGAAACCGATGGAAACACACCAACTGCTTCCCTGGCAACCTTATCAAAATACTTTGTGTTATTTTTGAGCTCACATGGCCCCTGAGAACTGGCAGTGAAAGCAAAAGAAAAAACCTTCGTACTTCCTAATCGCATCGTATACACTCCGGCACGAGTGGAGATTACAGTAGAACTGGTCAGCTAAAGCAGGGCGATTCATCACAATAATTTTCACGATAGAGAGAAAGTCAACGAGGATAGCGCAATTACTCACTTCAGGCAACTCTACGTTTCATCAAACTTTCTATTTCGATGAAGTATGTACAGGTGTTATCACTTTGCCATTTCAAATTGAGGAAGGAGTGAAAGGAGTAGTCAGACGCAGAAAGCATACCCGTTCTTCCTCTTTGATCATCTCGGCAATGGCAGGCCGGATTTCTTCGTCTTGGGACATGGAAGGCTCAGGGCGAGGAAGAGGATGAGGCAGTAACGCCTGGGGATGATGAAGTTCCAGGTTCGTCTCCAGGAGTTCCGCCGGGCTCCCACACCCACTATCCAATCCTGAGTAAGATAATCGCCTCCGTTTCGGTCCGTTCATGACCAAGGAAGGGACGAGGGACGCCGGGGGAGGCGGTCGAGTCATGGTTATCATAGGTGGCGGTGCACCAGGGGGTGGGGGTGGTACAGGTACAGCTGGTGGCGGCAAAGGGTGCGTCCCAGTCCCACACGATCCGATATTGTCCTTGGGGGGAGAACCTGGTTTGCACTCCTCGTTTCTCACTTCCGCCAACCCTTTGATTTTCAATGTCTCGGCCAGTTTCAAAAGGCTTGGGATTTGATCTTGAAGCACGTTGATTTCACCTTTGTACATGAACTCGACGAGGGTCCGCAATTCTTCATAGCGGAGATCTTTCAATATCACAATAGGATGCTGGCATGGGTTCTCCATTAACAAGGATTGGAAGTAAGGACTACAAGCGGAGAGCACCATTTTGTGACACTTGATCACTGCGTTTCCCTGACAAGCGAGAGTCACATCCACAAAGGCTTCCGTCTGCAGCAATTGTTCGAACACCGTCGACAAATTACTTTGGTAATTGTTCCACCGTAAGCAGAACTGCTGCCGTGAACCCATAATGATCTCACGCCCCGGGGAGGGGACCTGGAATACACTGTGGAGAAACAATGAAGAAAAATCACTGGGAGAGGTGCATCAATTTCGTGCGATGCAATTCGTTCAAGTAGGTCGAAGGGAGGAACGTGGAGTCTCAGACGGGGGGCGTATCAAACAAACACAGGCGGAAAAGAGGGAGAGAGCCAGCCAGCTGTGCCGATCCAGATGTACACAGGAGCAAGGCTGGAGCTGCACAGAACGCAGCCGCCCGAATTTCGTTAAAGCTCAACACTAAATTACTTTAACTGCACACGCAGGCTGTGACGTCAAACGCTAAATATTCTTCGGATGGGAGAGCGCGCCGAACGAGAGAGACTCAAAAGCACTGTGCTTGCTCTCCCTCCCTCTCTCTCCATTCCGCTTTCCCCTCTCTTTCTCTCTCCTTCCCCTCCCATTCTCAGTCCCTCTCCCCACCAACGCTGGAATAAATTTTTATATAATGTATACGTAATATAATGCCCCGCAAGAATGCCTAGTATGTTTAATGCATGCGCTATTGATTTATTGATGAGGAGGGCCGTTCCTGAAGTTTTTATTATATTAGACGAGGGAAACGGGGCATGCAGTACGGAGAGAGACATTGTCTGGAACGATCCAATAGTGAATAATATTAAATCCCTCGCCTCGACAGTTATTAGGCATCATTCATGGGGGTCCTGGCTCACGATTCAGATATGGGAAAGGGAAGGAATGTTGAGCTAAATGCATACACATACACATTTTCTGGAAGCGCCCTGCATCGAATTCTCTCCTCCCATTCCCCATTTTATAACATCATAAAATTTAATGGCACGGGGATGGGCCTAGGTGGAAGCCATCATGCAAGGGGGCTCTTTTCTCTTTCCTGCACTTCTCTCTCTTTCTTTGCCGCTCAAATCTGTTCCCTCAAGAACGGTATACGATACGGGAGGGTCATCGAAGGACTGAGGACAGTGATAATCAGTGGTCCCGTTATAATACCAGGTACCACCGCTATGTACACGCTCTGAATTTCCTCTCTCCGTCTCTCCCTCGTTCTTGATCATGAAAGGTGATTGTATGCGCTTCATAAGGCAAGGTAACCCTTCTTTCCGGCCGTTTCCGATGGATGCGATGGGGCAAAGCACTAATATCGCAGACATACGTGTCTCGGATCATGCGATTCGGTACACAAAAGAAGTGAACGACATGCCCCTGTTCTATTCCACACCAGGGACTATGCGAGGAGAGTGAAATTCTTCCCTTGCCTCCCACATCCCCGCGATTGTCCATCATCATCTCCATAATCATCATCATTCCGGATGGGATTATATATTAGGAATGGGAACCATAGCAACGGGCTGGGTTGGGGGACATTTCCGAGAGAAAACTCATTCATGCTCCGCTTCCGCACTTATCTTGCTCGTCAGCAGTAAACGTCGTTATGCATAATGACCATGAAGCAAGGAGGAAATTCCAGCCTGAATTTTCTCTGCAGAGTTCCTCTCCCCCCTTCTCTCCGTAAGCATGAATAAGGCATGACAACTCTATCCGGATGATCAATCAAAATCAAATAAAGATTGCGTGTCGGTAGGTTCATGTCAATCCAAACGCCCCCTCCACTGCAGATAGAGGCCTCACCTCCTGTCTCATGCCAGGGCCCCGGGTATTTATATTTCATTGGTAACAACTATTTACACGGGGACTTTGAACCGCAGGCTGGCGTAACAGTACGTGACTGACGATACAAGAGGAGATTCATACGATAGCATTACATATCAACTACAGCGGGATTCGTGCTGCATCTGCCTAAGAACATCCTCTCTCATGAGCCTGTGCGTAATTTCACATTAGTTCGTCACGTTTCAGTTCTTTTGGGAAACATGTCCAACAAAGCATATCAAGTCATGTGTGCGACCTTGATCTGTCTGTGTCCCAGTTCCACAGATCCTCTTCCATGCAGTTCCTTCTTAATTTCCATGGGTAATGAAGACGAGAACGTAGGCAATGGCATGTCACCATCATCACTGGAATGCATGAGCCGGAAGGAGCATCATGTGTCGCCGGTCTGGGACGCATTATGGCCCCCCAAGGGGATTTTAACCGAGCGAGGTGGCGGCGTTCAATCATCGAATGAAACTCAGGAAGTTTGCATCTCAGCAAATGAGAGCCTCTTGGGCTGAAACCCCCGGGGACTCAGGCCTGATACTGTCGATAAAACTCGATAGCCTAGGCCTATTTCTACTGTAGAGACTGGCAAACGAGGCAGATGAGAAGACCTCATTTGCGTGGAATACAACTTTCCCTTTGCATTTACATTCGATTACCTCGCGTACCAATGCTATGAGTCAAGCGCCTCCTGACATAAAGGAGTCCTATTATAGCCGTTCCGCTTCTTCCATTCTTCATACACTTCACACTTTCATGTCAGATTACCTGAAGCACAGGACCACTATTCAAAAGATGCAAAAAGAAACCTCTCCGCGGAGTATGCCAAGAACACCATATGCGAAAGGCACCAGGATACAGAATCACGTCCACGGAATAGAGCTCCTCTCATGCGGAATATGTATTAAGTGTAGGCTTTACTGTCTCATGGTTCTCCTTCACTAGCTCTCTCTCACATGAATTTCACATAACTTGCATTCAATTCATATGAGAAGCTTCCTGGAACTATCTCAATTCCATACCAAAAAGATGACATGAAAGATTACTTTCACTATATGGAACTCTTCTCGAGAGGCAGAGAGAGAGAGAGAGAGAAACCACACACAAACACAAGAAGGGCCTCACATTGGGAAGAGGGACATCTATGTTGATGCAGCCTTTAATGAGATAGAACGGTCAGCAAATGCTTCTGCGGTGGCTATTGATCGAGAGTCTCATCACATATGCATTGAGTTCTGGTAGAGTGGTAAATAATTGAATTGGTATGGGGAGAATATGAAGCGAAAACACAGACATGATTTCAATGCAATGACAGCATGAGTCATACTAGTTCCTTGAGCTATTTTCTCCATTTTTGAGCTCTCAACGAGAAACGAGAAATTATTGCCGGTAAATTCCCTTCAAGAGAAGCTCGCATAAAAAAAAGGCGATTGGCGAAGGATTGACGATCTTTTTAAGTACCATTTTCGAAGGTCCTCCGATAAGAGAATAAGAGAGGGGTATGGCTCTAACGAAGTACTCCCGGCTTTCTACCTTCTCCCGAAATATCAGTCTCTTTCTTCCCCCCCCCCCCCCCCCCCCCCCCCCCCCCCCCCCCCATTTCTACCTTCCCCCGAAATATCAGTCTCTTTCTTCCCCCCCCCCCCCCGACTGGTTCACACTCCAATGAACAGAATCATCCCTCTCTCCTCCGACTGTAATCCTCCAACCCCGTTTCGCCTATAGTTTACATCCCCGTGATAAGGAGTTCTGGTAGCCGTTGTAAGTTGTCAGTCATGCTCTGGCCCTTTCGGCATCAAAGTGGTACTTATTTTTCTTTAGAATCCAAGAAAACTCGAACATTACGAAATCTTTCTTTATTCCTCGAACAGCCCGTCACGGCGAAACTAAACTGCGTTCCACGAATTTCTGGTGGCTCCGCTGTAGTCTCTATTCCGCGAAGCTTCCACCTTCCACTGGCAGGAAGATTTGGACAAACAGGGTTTATCAGAACACTATCTAGTATTCAAGGTGATTTACTGCCTTGCTACGAGAGAAGGTCAAGGAATAACTTTTCCTCCATTGTGCCTCTGAACCAAGAATCGAACTCCCGACATCCACCACTGCACTAATTGGATCAGGAGAGGAAAAGGGAAATAGAGCCAGTCTGCCCCACCCCCTTCCTGCATGAATTCTTTTTCCTTATCTGGCCCAATCTGTTGCCAGGTGCCACATGTGCCTTAGAACATGGTACTGCACTTTAGCCAAAAGGATAGCCATGAGAAAGGGCAGGAGATAAAAAATTGCGCATTATTCTGTCATTGAATCATCAGGTATACCATATATTTAAAAAATCGCTATGGCATGTAAACTGGGATGCAGGTTTTTAAGGGAGTGAAGATTATAGCTTCATTACCATGAGCATATGAAAAAGAATGAATAGCAGTCCTGCACAGCATTAAAGAAGATAGACAAGAGATGAGGTCAAAAGCTGGCATGTATGACAATCATGGAGAAGAAGGTATATAGATGAGTTCATGAAATGTAGAAAGTAGGATTCAAACTAGAATGATACTGGTTACAGAGAAGGTATTTTTTTAAACTGAGCCCCAATTTATAAGCATTAAGGTAAGGGGAGATGGAAACATATTTATCAGAACTTAGCCAGAGCAAGGGGGAATTTTTCAGTTCTAATCTTCACCCAAAGTCTGTTAATAACTTTCAATCCTGCATGCAATACTCCCTTTGCTGGTATACTGGCTCTCTTTAGGTTACCATTAGTTTGGTACATGTTGTTATTAACCAGCAGGTCACACATTGAAAGGTAAAATTATGTTCCTTGCAAGGATGACCCAAGGTCTGCATAGAAAGTTTCAGATAGGCTAATGGACACATCCACCCAGCATATGTTCCTTTGAATGAGGAGTGGAAATCATATGAATGCCCAAGAAGAGAGTGCAAAAATAAGTCAGTCACTTTTCCTTAATCTCTGATTGGAAAGCCCAAAGTCATGAAACAGAAGAGGATACTGCCCATTTAAGCTTCCCACAATCACCTAATATCTAATTTGTATCTTCTATATGAATGAGTATGAGATAACTTCTGCTAAAATTCTCTTGGTGTGAATAATGCATCTCACCATGATGATATCAATGTTTTTAACATTAAACAAGCTTTCTGATAGGCTATGATTGAGTGTTTATGCAGTATTTATGCAGAAATCTCAGATATGAAAATCATGTTAAGTATGGTTCTCACACCTGAGATTTCTATGGCAACACTAATGCTTCTTTCAACATGAATTTTGGCATTCTACTGTTAAAGCCTGAACATGGTGCCATGGAAGATAGAGCCCTTTGAGGGCTTGCTTGAGTACACATTTCCACTGAGTTGCCTCAAGGTATTCCCTGGGAAAACCTATCCAGGTGAGAAATTTTCTATAACAGTTTGAATACCCCACAGATTAGTCCTAGGGTGCTACTATACTTGATTTTTATCAAAGACCTACTGCATTTAAGCCCCATGGATATTTTCAAATTATTTGCAGATGACTAATGTCCTCATCACTAGTGGTAGTGAGGACAAACAGCACCATGTCTGCAAGTAATAATCATTTGAGTGCCCCTAACTTCCATTCTACTTCTAAGGAAATTTATTGCTTTAAAAAGCAATTAAAATGGATTTGATGAAAAATGTGACTAATTGAGTTATCCTCAATTATAGATTGAGGCTAATAATTGCATAATGAATTATGATTAATATAGAGTAGCACCACCCAAAAAAATTTCCATAAAATGTAATCCATTCTCTGGGGTTTAGTGTCTTCAGTTGAAAAACCTGGTACTTAAAATTTCCATGAACCACTTTCTACTTTGAGTTGGATTGGTAAAACTTTTGCATATTCAGAATCAAGAGAATCAAGAAATATGCAAAGAAAGAAAAATAAGCAAAGAATAAAAAAACATGCAAATTTTGGTAAACTCAGGTAAACAAGGTACTTTGGTAAATAAATCTGGACTAGAAGGCAGTACACCTGACACCTCCATTCCACCATGATGGTAACAGTGTTGCAGAATTAACTAGGTTCTGTGGTCTTGACTGGAAAATTTTAGAGGGACCATCATAATAAAATAATGAAAACTACAAGCCATCTTAATGATCCAAAAACAGCTCTCATTTAAATGAATATCAAGCAAAGATTGTCCATGGCTGATAACAGGATTTGCATGACTTGTTACCTGATTCAAACTAAATTTATGTGAATACATATGAAGTATGACAGCATGTTCTTGAAATAAATTTTTTTTATGAACACAGTGATGCCATTACAATTATATACATAGGCTGATGAATTTGACTGTCAGAGTGTTATACAAGCTCTGTATGACTAGTTTTGCTAGCATAGAAGAAGCTGGAGAGGAAGATACACAGAATGTAAAGCACCTGTTACATTCCTAGAATGAAACAATGCATCACCAAGTTTATTTTCAAGCTGGGGAAAATGGCATCAGAGACCAATAAAATGTAACAAATGTATGGACAGGATACTACCTCATGTGTCATGTTCCCAGGCTTCCGAATCTATTTAATATTTCAAGCTGGTAGAGAAGAAGTTAAGGATGATGAAAGGCATTGCTGACAATCCACAAATTGCAATG